AGAGACGGGGTTTCACCATGTTGACCAGGATGGTCTCGATCTCTTGACCTCGTGATCCACCCGCCTTGGCCTCCCAAAGTGCTGGGATTACAGGCTTGAGCCACCGCGCCCGGCGGTTTTCATTTCTTTACACTCGCCCACGTGCTTTCCAAGTTTTTTACTAATGAACATACATGAAATGTTGGGGAAAGAAAATATTTAAAAAAATATCTAACAATTTCTATAACAAAAGTTATAAAAGAGAAAGTGAGTACAAAAGGCAAGCATTAACAGGCAAGTAGGAAGACTGATCATTGGAAGTAGAGGAACCAGGAGAGGCCTTAGAAGGATAAACTATTTCTCCTTAAATTAGGTTTCTTGCTTTTAATGATTAGAAAAATAACAGTCTCAAACTGAAATTTCAAAAAATACAGAAAAATATAAAGAAAGTGAGTGTAAGTAACTACCCAAATTCCCAATACCCAGGCAACCACTGCAACCACCCCCAAGGCTGGTGACACTCCATACACACCTCCCTCTACACAACGACATGCAAGCAGACCCCAAGCTACCGCACATTATGTGGCTGGACCACAGCCTGTGCAGCATCCTGTTAAAACAGGTTGAGGAGCTTTCTAAGTCAGGTAATAGCATCTTATATCATTCTTTCTAATGGCTGAATAAAAGACCACTGTATGAACGTACTATATTTTTAAATCAACCTCCAATTTTTCAAATGGTAAGCAATACTGCAACACACATCATCCTTATGTCTAACAGCCTTAAGCACTTGACCAGTCAATACATCCTTGAAATATATTCCCATAAGTGAAATTTTTAAAGAGTACTGAACATTTAAAATCTGAATACATATTGGAAACCTGTAAAGAGAGGACTTTTTAAAGAATCATAATAAAGTCATTGCTATAGGAAACTGGAAAAGTTACAAAATGGTTAAAAGCAAGGGTCTGGAAAAAGTTGAGAGCATTCTTGGCAACATTCTGCTCTTCATTTCTCAACTGGAGTTATCAAAAAGCAAAGCTCAGCCCATTGGGTTTTTTTTTTTTTTTTCTTTTGAAGATAGGGTCTTGCTCTGTTGCCCAAGTTGGAGAACAGTGGCACAATCTCGGCTCACTGCAACCTCCACCTCTGGGGCTTAAATGATCCTTCTGCCTCAGCCTTCTGTGCAGCTGGGACTACAGGTGTGCACCACCATTCCCAGCTAATTTTTTGTTTTTTTGTAGAGGCGAATTCTCACTATGTTGCCAGGGCTCATCTCGAACTCCTGGGCTCAAGCAATCCTCCTGCCTCAGCTTCCCAAACTGCTGGGATAACAGGCATGAGCCATCATGCATCATTCCCACTGGGTCTTTCTGCCCAAGTTCTCACCTGATTCTCCAAAGGTCATCAAAGAGGCCTTGCTCTAGCTGGGGCAGCAGCAAGGCGATGGCTGTCTCAGCGTACATGGAGATAACCCGCTGGCCTGCACGCAGGGCGGTGTCACGCACAAATTCATTCTCATCAGCAAGAGCCTGGGCACACAGAAGGTGGGTCAGCCAGAGCTGCCACCCCTAGGCCCCCAGCCCAAAAAACATGGCGCTCCCTGAAGGCTGAGGGCTGTGGCAACCAACCCCACCCAGCAGGGGTCCCTAGCTCTCCAGGAGAGCACTTGCCTCCTGCCCTCCTCAGAGACTCTACCCTCACCAAGGTCATGGTACCTACTTTGAGGATACAGGGGATAATGGGCCCCACATAAGGAGTAAATTTGTCTCCAAAGGTGATGGGCAGGTAGTTAAACATCATTATGTAGCCATCTCGGACATGGGGTGCAATGTCCACTTTGCTGGCTGTAGCCACGATTTCTGGCATCAGTTTCTCCAACTTCTCCACCCCCAAACCAGCCATGACCTCAGCCAACCCTGCAATGAAAGAACAGAATGAGCCCACTGATCTGAGGGCCCCTTTTAGAGCATTTCCAGTCTGGCCACCGGACCTGCTCTGGCCTTACCCTGTGCAGCGCCTGACCGATCCACAGAGCTCTGCTCATAGGTCAGTGTCTCCATCAGCCATGGCAGCAAGTCTTCAAAGCATGACTCCCCCATGCCCTTCACCATGGCCCCAAGGGCCTTTGCAGATACCGTCCGCACCTGTCACATCACCGAGAGCAGAGATGGTGTGAGGAGATGCGGCTCAAAACAAGGTAGCCACACGGGAGCAGGGAGGGACACCGAGGGCCTCCTTCCCTTTCCAACGGACAAAAAAGCAGCTTTGGGGAATTCTCAGGGATCCATTTTGTGGGGACTGGATGAGGCTGTAGGATAAACTGTTTCTTGCTTTTAATGATTAGAAAGTAACATTTAAAAGTTATTGTAAAGTGAGATCACCCATCCCCAGTCTAATGCAGACTTACCTCAGGCACAGGGTCCAAAAGCGACGCTTTCAGGCCAGGTGTCACGCTGGGCAGGTACGGAGCCAGGTCCTGGAACAACACAGGAGGTGGCTCGGGCAAGGCCCAACTCGTGCTTTCTCCAGACTCGTTCCACTGTGGACCCTAACCTCCCCATTCTGCTGGCAAGGAGTACACAGCAGGGGCCCTAGCGTGCAAACCTCACTGACCATGGAACAGCGTGGGAAGGGCAGCTGGCAAGTAAGTCCCCCCTGACCCTACCACCAACTGGTTCTTTGAAGGTCCTGTGCAATTATTTGGGGATGGCTACTAGGGACCCCAGGCCCATCCTCAACAGACAGGAGTTCAATGCTCTTGCTCCTCCCACTCTTCCCTTAAGACCAAGACCTGTCCAGACTCTGGAATTTTTAGGAAATTACTTCTGGTACTTTCCTTTCAGAATTCATTAACATCTTCCCTTTCTTCACCTCAAAATGTTTATGTCTCTTGATGGAGCATTCAGCTTTCAGGAATAATTTTAAATACAGAAAATGCCTTATGTTCCTTGCAGCATCACTGAAAATAGCCAAAATGTCCATACCTTGGACACTGTATGACCAATTATATATAAGTTATGGTATATAAACTTGTTGGGATATTATAACTATTAAAAATCAGTTTTGTGAATAACTCATTATACCTTGGGAATAAGTTTAAGTTTAGGAATGCCATTTTTAAATGTAATTTAAAAAATTAACAGTACTTGGCCGGACACAGTGGCTCATGCCTGTAATCCCAGCACGTTGGGAGATCAAGGTAGGTAGATCACCTGAGGTCAGGAGTTCGAGACCAGCCTGACCAACCTGGGGAAACCCTGTCTCTACCAAAAATATAAAAATTAGCTGGGCCTGGTAGTAAGTGCCTGTAATCCCAGTTACTCAGGAGGCTGAGGCAGGAGAATCACTTGAACCCAGGCAGTGGAGATTGCAGGGAGCCAAGACTGTGTGAGTGCACTCCAGCCTGGGCAACAGAGTGAGACTCTGTCTTAAAAAAAAAAAAAAAAAAAAAAGAAAAAAAAAGAGAAATTTTTTTTAAAAAAAAAAAAAAAAAAAAAGAACAGTAATTATTTTTTTGGTAGGGAACTGTGGATAAAATGTTAAAATATTTTGGTTTTCTGGGTTGGGCGCAGTGGCTCATGCCTATAATCCCAGCACTTTGGGAGGCCAAGGTGGGTGAATCACGAGGTCAAGAGATCAAGACCATCCTGGTCAACAAGGTGAAACCCCGTCTCTACTAAAAATACAAAAATTAGCTGGGCATGATGGTGCTTGCCTGTGGTCCCAGCTATTCGGGAGGCTGAGGCAGGAGAATTGCCTGAACCCAGGAGGCGGAGGTTGCGGTGAGCCGAGATCGCGCGCCACTGCACTCCAGTCTGGGTAACAACAGCAAAACTCCATCTCAAAAAAAAAAAAAAATTTTTTTGGTTTTCTAATTTTTAAAATTAATTAATTTTTAAGACAGGATCTTGCTCTGTCGCCCCAGGCTGGTGTACGGTGGTATTATCATAGCTCATTATATCCCAAACCTCCTGGGCTCAAGCAATCTTCCCATCTCAGCCTCCCAAAGTCCTGGGATCACAAGCATGAGCCACCAAGTCTGGTCTGTTTTTCTGGTTTTTTAATTTCCCAAATTTTCTAGGATTAATGCAACTTTTCCACTTTGTATTTTTTTGCTCATAGCCTCAGTAAGCAAAGCTGAGCTGTGGTAGACAGTGAGATCACACATGCAAGCTTTTGGGAGCTAACAGACAAAGCCTATCTCCCAAACCAGACTCTCCTGACAAGAATACACTGCAAGGAGTCCAAGTGGCAACCACTTAAACACTCTTGAGACGTCAAAAGAGAGACATGCCTATCTGGGTCTCAGGTGAGAACTAAGCTATCAAGGACTTGAACCACTGCACTCTGTAAGATGCCCAGAGAGCCCAGATTTCCACCTCAAAATGGCTCATTTCTCCCCACAAAAATAAGTAGGGACTAATGCCCATATCTTTCCTTGTCTAATGTGGAGACTCTGCACCTCTGATTCTGCACTCAGCATCTTCTGGTCTATCCCACACCAGCCCCAGCTGGGCTGCTACCTTCTGGTCTGTCAGGGAGTACATGTTGCCAATGATCTGGGCTGCCATCTTCCGCGTGTCAGTGGAACGGTCCTGGAAGGCTCTCTGGACAATGGGCATGATGAGGGCCAGGGACGGGGCATCAATGAAGTGGACGAACTTTGTGTCCAGCAGGGTCTGCAAGCACTTCTGGGTCTTTCTGGAGGGGTCTGTCAGGGCATCCAGAAGGACTGGGGCAATGGCTGTACATCCAAAGAGAAGAGAGCCCAGTTGATACACATCTATGCATCAGCAAAGCCCCTGAGCCCCCAGAACTAGAAGGGATCAGAAGAAAAGGGAGTCTGGCATACCTCCTCCCTGAAGCCCCACAAGTCACCAGCTGGGGAAGACAGGCTGTCCACAAAGAGCAATCCTTGCTTCACTGGTGGGAAGCAGAGGTCACTATGTGGAGGTGTCAGCTGTCACCCTTTGCACTGTAGAGCTGTGACGTGGAAGAGCTCCTATGGGCTGGTTTCAATGGGCACTGAACTGCAGCCATTCTGCTGACCTTCCATAGGACTGTTTTTTGACCACCACCATGGACCCAATTCTGAGACCAGCAATCCAGAAAAGATGTTGTGGAAAGCCAGTTTTGTGACACCAAAAGCCCCTAACCAGCAGTGGGGGTGAAGCACAAAGTACTAAGATTAGATAAAATGAGCTCTTAAAAACCCAGTACCAGAGCCCAGGGAGTTTAGCCACTATAAAAATCCATGCTGGGCAACAATAACCAAAAAAAAAAAAGAATAACCGAATTTTAAAATGGGCAGGGACCTGAATAGACATTTCTCCAAAGAAGATATGCAAATGGCCAATAACCACATGAAAAGATGCTCAGCATCACTGGTCATTAGGGAACTGCAAATCAAGATCACCATGAGATGCCACTTCATACCCACTAGGAGGCTATAATCAAAAAGAGAGATAATAACAAAGTGTTGGCAACTGAAATCCTCAAACTTTGCTATTGGGAATATCAAACAGAACAGCCATTTGACACTGGAAAACAGTCTGGCAGTTCCTCAAAAAGTTAAACAGAGTTACCATATGACCCAGCAATTCTCTTCCTAGGTGTCTAACCAACAGAACTAAAGTTTATGTTCCCACAAAAATTTTGGCTCAAATGTTGACAGCAGCCTTATTCGTAATGGCCCAAAAGTGGAAACAACCCAATTCCATTAACGAATGAATAGATAAATAAAATGTGGTCTGCCGGTGCAATGGAATATTATTCCGCCATATGAGGATACAAAATACTAAAACATGCTACAATATGGATGAGCCTCAAAACCATTACACTAAGTGAAAGAAGCCAGACACAAAGGTCACATACATATTTTATGATTCCATGTATATGACATGTCCAGAATAGGCAAACATACAGAGACAGAAAGTAGATGAGTAGCTGTCAGGGGTTGGGGGTAGCGGGGAAATGAAGAAAAAATGCTAATGGGTATGGAGTTTCTTTCTGGGGTGATGAAAAAACACTCTGAAAATAGACAGCCGTGATGTTTATGCAATTTTGTGAATATACTAAAAACTACTGAATTATACATTCTAAAAGAGTGAATTTAATATTATATGAGAATTATATCTCAGCTTTTTAAAAAGATCTATGCTGGATTCTTAAATGAAGGCATTTCTACTCATGTGATAAGGACGAGACTATTCTGGGCCTCAGGATCCCTCAAGGATGTTGAGCACTGGCAAAACTGAACCCCACAGAAACAAGAGTAGAACAGTGGCTGCCAGGGGTTGGGGGTGAGTGTGGGAGACATTGGTCAAAGTGTACAAACTTTTAGTAAAGCAGGATAAGTAAGTTCTGGAGATCTAATGTGCAGCACGATGATGACAGTTAATAATATTCATCACAGGCTTGAAATTTGCTAAGAGAAATGTGCTAAGAGAGTCTATCTTAAATATTCTATCTTATATGTAAAAAAAAAAAAAAAAAAAAAAACCATGTAAAGTGAGGAATATGATAATGCCTGATTATGGTAATCATTTCACAATGCACACATCATTGTACAAAACATCACAGCCGGGAGCGGTGGCTCACGCCTGTTATCCCAGCACTTTGGGAGGCCAAGGCAGGAGAATCGCTTGAACCTGGGAGGCAGAGGTTTTGATAAGCTGAGATCGCGCTATTGTTCTCCAGCCTGGGCAACAACAGTGAGACTCCACCAAAAAAAAAATACACACATCACATTGTACATATAAATATGTATAACTTTTACTTATCAAATATATATCAGTAAAGCTGAAAAAAATGTTTTAAAAAGAAATACTGCTTTTTTGAGATGGAGTCTCACTCTGTTGCCCAGTCTGGAGTGCAATGGTACGATCTCAGCTCAATGCAACCTCCACCTCTCGGGTTCAAGCTATTCTCCTGCCTCAGCCTCCTGAGTAGCTGGGACTACAGGTACATGCCACCATGCCTGGCTAATTTTTGTATTTTTAGTAAAAGATGGGGTTTCACCATGTTGGCCAGGCTGGTCTTGAACTCCTGACCTTAAGTGATCTGCCCACCTCAGCCTCCCAAAGTGCTGGGATTATAGGCATGAACCACAAAAATAAAATTTCTGAAAAGCATATATCCTTAGTAAATTTTTGGTCTGCCCTATCAGTAATTGAAAAGTGTGTTGAAATCTCCCACTATGACATAATGTATTTGTTAACTTCTCCCTGTAGCTTTATAAATTTTGTTTTATGTATTTTGAGGTTATTCCATACTTTCCATACTGAAGTACACTGAGTGGGCACTGGCAGCTGAAGCTTAGACTTTAACAGTGACATGCTGGTCAAGGTGGCTGGCTGGGTTTTGTTCCTAGCGATCAACCTCTTCCTGGTATTCGAGAAAGAACCACATATAGAGTATTTAAGTTAATCCTATCCCTTCCTTAACCCTCCCCTCTATCACAGGCCTCCTGGAATGAGATGGAATAGGAAGTTTTCAAAGGTCCTAACATTTTGAATGGTGCTGATGTGGTCCAGAGAATGTCATTCAGTTCTGTTGGCCTCATGCTCAGCTTAGTGCACAGGGATCTCTTGGAGTCAAACTGCTCCTGAGCCAATGACTCAGTGTCCCTATCTGCAGAGCCAATGACATCTGCCCCAGGCCAGGAGAAAAACAGAATGAATGCTTCCAAACTACCTTCAAATAACTATTCTAGGAAAAGGGCTTCCCAGGATTTAGAGGCGATTTCACTGTGAACGTATTTGTCCTCAAAGAAAAAGATCTTAGCTGAATGGGTGCAAGTTCCCTGCAGTGTCCAAAGGCGGTGGGATTGGCAGGAGGCCAGGGCAAGCACCCTCATGGGAGAGGCCTACCTAGGATCTCTGGGTTTCTGATGACGGAGCCGATCTGCCTGAGTGCCTGCTGTCCGGCCTTCTGGACTTTGACATGGGAATCGGTCAGCACCTCCGTAAGCTTGGGCACGATGTTGGGTAGGCAGGATGACAGCTGCTTAGGAGCACAGTACGCCATTGCCCCGAGAAGCTCCACTGACCCTGCGGATAGCAGACACAAGCCCAGCACTGAATCACTGAGCACAGGCCAGCAACTCACCTGCACTGGCTACATGGGCAAGGGACATCGACGCTGGTCCCTGCACACTGTGCTCAAGCAGTCACTGGGAGTAGGGGAGAGGGGACTGGCTCTAGCAGAGCAGTCAAAAAAGCTCTTGAGGCCTGCTAAACAGTGGGATCCCAGGTGAGAAGCAGGGCAGTATGGGAGAAAGAGACCAGGATCGGGGAGACCTGGTTTAACCCTTACAGTGAGATGCAAGGTCAGTTCCCTGAATTTCAGTGAACTGTTTCTTCATCCACAAATGAGGAAACTGATTTAGATTTGTGTTGTTTCTAACTACAGGGTGAAATCTGAATGACTGAGAAGGAGGCTGAGTGGGAGGGTCCTAGATGGTGATCCTCTCCTAACTAGAGCAGCTCTACTTGTATCTGTTTGCTTATTAGGATGTCAGAGATTTTATTTGTTTATTTTGAGACAGGGTCTCACTCTGCCGCCCAGGCTGGAGTGTGATGGCAGCCTCCAACTCCAGGGCTCAAGTAATCCTTCCACTTCAGCCTCCTGAGTAGCTGAGACTACCTGCATGCGCCACCATAACTGGCCTATTTTTGGGTCTTGCTATGTTGCCCAGGCTGGTCTAAACTCCTGGCCTCAAGAGATTCTCCGCCAAAGGTTATTTTTAAAAACAGCTTTCCTGGGGGTGGGGGGGGAAACTTTAAAGCCACAGAAGAGCTTTACAGCTCTGGATTTTCTGACTTAAGGCTGTAGCTCTTGTCAGAGACCTGTTCTTGGCATGAAAGCACATAAACTATAGGAAGATTCAACCGCCAGAGGCAGAGTTGGCTGGGTGTGGTGACTCACACCTGCAATCCCAGTGCTTTGGGTGGCCAAGGCAGGAGGATCACTTGAGCCCAGAAATTCGAGGCCAGTCTGGGTTACATAGCGACACTACATCATTATAAAAAAAAAAAAAAAAATTAGCCAGGTGTAGTAGTGTGTTCCTGTGAGAATGGTTTGTGCCCCAAAACTCAAGACCAGCCTGGGTGATAGAGCAAGACTCCACCTCAAATTTCAAAAGAAAGGCAGGGTCTTAACCCTATCCCTGGGCTTGGGAGCTCACAGGACACGAGCTGTGGCTACCCAGGATCCTCACTGAGGCTGGTTTTCAGAACAGGAAGCTGGGAAGAGAGACAGAGGGAGTGGTCTTACCAGCTTTGGTCCGCCAGGATTCCTCCTCCAGGGCAGCCAGTAAGGAGGGGAGCACCAGCTTCACCCCATGAGCACTCAAGTTGCTCATCACAGCCTTGGCACAGTCATCTGCAGCCTCAAGGGAGGAGAAAAGACATTCAGGGGCCTGCTCGCCCAAGCAAGGGGCAAGGCCTGACACCAGTCCTAATGTTCCTCCTGTGACAAATGCTTCCTGGGTTTCTATTGTGTCAAACCCTGTGCCAAGGCCTACAGACATAGCTGGGAACAAACCTCACAAAGTTTTGATGCTGTTCTCCCATGCAGTCTGGGGACTTACCTCACGCACATACTGGTTCCCATCCCCGAAGCACAGGAGCAAATGGGGCAGCACGTGAACCACGTAGGGCTCAAAGAGCTTCCCCAGCATGGTGCAGAGCATCTCAAAGGCAAAGAGGGCTCCTAGGGGAAAAGATGGTAGGACGGCTGGGAACGGAATGTCCCCTGGGGATAGCCACAGAGAACAGAAGGGACAGCAACATCCCTGCCACCTCCTACTCTTCTGGAAACACTCAGAAAAGCTGTGGAACTAGTGGCTGTCCCATGAGCAAGCAGCACCCTCTGCCTCAGCTCAAGAAGCCCCAAAGCAGGGATGTGGCTGAGTGGGGAGGGAGGAGACTAACAGTTGGCAATAACAGAAAAGCCAAACCACAGGCCGGGCGCAGTGGCTCATACCCGTAATCCCAGCATTTTGGGAGGCTGAGGCAGGAGAATCACCTGAAGTCAGGAGTTCGAGACCAGCCTGACCAATATGGAGAAACCCCGTCTCTACTAAAAATACAAAATTAGCTGGGTGTGGTGGTGCATGCCTGTAATCCCAGCTACTCGGGAGGCTGAGGCAGGAGAATCGCTTGAACCCGGGAGGCAGAAGTTGTAGTGAGCCAAGATCACGCCATTGCACTCCAGCCTGGGCAACAAGAGCAAAACTCCATCTCAAACAAACAAACAAACAAGTCCAGCATGGCCAACATGGTGGAATCCCATCTCTACTAAAAATATAAAAATTAGCCGCCTGTAATCCCAGCTACTCGGGAGGCTGAGGCAGGATAATTGCTTGAACCTGGGAGGCGGGGATTGCAATGAGC